ATATATATATATATATATATATATATATATATATATATATATATATATATATATATATATATATATATATATATATATATATATATATATATATATATTTATCAGTTGTGTGTTGTTTTAGACCTGACTCATGGCAGAAAATTAGCTTTATTAAGATTTACCTCCCTGACTTATCATCCTTTTTTTTGCTTCAAATTAAAAAATCTATCTATTAGTCTAAATAAGATCACCATCATATTCTTTAAACTTTAGTCTTGTCGACTAGCAAAACTCACTGTGTGCTGAGACCTCAGCATAAAAGACTGTTTCGGTTCAAAATGCATAAGCGGCGCGTGAGCAGCGGGGCTATTTTTTCGGCGTGCATGTTCTCAGCCGGGACTTACATCGGGAGCAGAGCAGTGTCAGGTGCGCGGGTATGTTTTTTTTTTTTTGCACATGCTCAGTTTTGTTTATGAGTAAACTACATTGCTTTCATCAGCGTTGGTTCGGTTGCACATTGAGAATGTTATCTTTATTCTGGGATTACCACTCTTAATTAACACACTTGCATATAAAAGTAAATCGTATCTCAAAGCATTTACTGGGGCACTGGCAATTTTTACTGGGGTCTAGCGATGCTCGTGTCAACCGTCTTTCCTCAAAAATTATAATTATATTCCATCTCTCAGAAATTATAAATATTTTAAAATAGTCACTATCCTTATAAATAAACTGCAATCTAAACAACTACATTCTCACCTTAAGAAGCCTCAAAAATACATTATGTTGCCGAACAGCAGCAATATTTGCCAAACTGCAGTGTCCTCTGCTTTTGCTGTATGTGGGTGGAGTAATATATGAGGGTAAAGGGTGAAGGGGCTGGACCAGCACTGGCAGAATATCACACGGCTATCAGCCAGTCAGATTCAAGAACCAGACCGAACTGTTGTATAAAATATAATAATAAATCAGTATCAGAATGGGCAGCCTGATCTCACGAGGAAACGTAAGTATTTTAGATTTTGTCAGTTTAGTGGCTAATCGTACAAGTTTAGTCCTACGAAAATGTACGATTTTAAAAAGGAGACATGGCACCCAACACCACCCCTAACGCCAACCGTCATTGGGTGATGAGCAAATCCTACTAAATTGTATGAATTAGATTGTACAAATTCATACGAATTAGCCATTAAATCTAAAAGTTACGAATTGCTGTGAGATTGCGTTGGAATGGGACAATTTGCTAATGAGCCATTGGAATCAGCCATGAAAAATCAAGATCAGTGCATCACAAAAGCATGATGTTTGCTTTTAATGTCATTCCCTCCTGTGCTGCAGGTGATCACAGTAGGTGCTGTTAATTTTGCCGACCAGCCACTGAACCGTGGGACGACGGGAACTAACGTGGGCCGCTGTGTGGATGTGTTCGCACCAGGTGATGACATCATTAGCGCATCCAGTGACTGCCCCACCTGCTTCACCACCAAGAGTGGGACATCGCAGGCAGCCGCGCACGTTGCTGGTTAGCACACATACATGCTAAGTCTATTACGATATGCTACATATTATTAGCAGAATCAGATAAATTAGTCTTATGCTGAGTTCAGACTGCAAGATTTTCTGCAAGAAGTAATCATGTCACAATTGTTTTCACACTGCATGACAATGTGGGCTAGCATTTTGTCGCTGCTTTGTTTACACTTTTGAATGGTTTGGCGACAGGGGCTTTCACATTAGGATAACAATAGGTTTTCACAATAGGAAGAATCGCCAACAACTTCATCCAAACTATGTCTCACAGCCAAAAACACGTAGTATATCTTTTGTTACTAACTACATAACGAGAAACAAGACTTTATTGTTCACAATATTTTACACAATAAACAATCAATATAGCAGATACTTGTTTGCTGGCCTTGCTGAGCGATCTAAATTGGACAGTTTTAATATGATAGATTCATTATAATGAAGGAAATAATAGCAAGTAAATATTTATAGGCAATAATAAACCTTTTATGTAATAAAAATCTTTTTACATTTAATAAATGTTAAAAATTATATTTTACTCGAGTGATTTAATGGTATTTATTTGCTTAATTTCCTAATAACTTTTTCCTACATTAAATATTATAGTATTTTTAGTAAGTAATATATTATTTTTAAACCATAAAGTACTGGTAATTTGAGGTAATTATAGTAATTATAATTATTGGTAATTATAGTTGCAACAAATTTAGCAATACAAACTAATTAACTGTTTATATATATAAACAATTATATAATTGTTTATATATATATATAATATAATATATATATAATATTTACTTCGATTTGTAAATATTTTATTTGTGTATGTGGATACGTGAACAAAGTCATGTGTTTAACCAATTATTTTTATTTACATGATTTGAGTTCAGAAACTGCAACACAGTGGCGCAGTAGGTAGTGCTGTCGCCTCACAGCAAGAAGGTCGCTGGTTTGAGCCTCAGCTTGAGTCAGTTGTTGAGTTTGCATGTTCTCCCTGCGTTTGCATGGGTTTCCTCCAGGTGCTCCGGTTTCATGCTGTACAGGTGAATTGGGTAGGTTAAATTGTCTATAGTGTATGTATGTGTGTGAATGCGTGTGTATGGGTTCCCCAGTGATGGGTCGTGGCTAAAAGGGCATCCGCTGCTTAAAAACATTGTGCTGGATAAGTTGGCAGTTGATTCTGCTTTGGTGACCCCAGACTAATAAAGGGACTAAGCTATAAAGAAAATGAATGAACGAATAAGTTCAAAAACTGCAGAGATATTAAAATGATCGTTACGATATAATAAAGAAATAATGACTGAAATGGAAAACCATAACCTGTTGACAGTCTAATGAATGCCAATCATAGCACGGACAGTCTCAATCGCCATATTTGTGGAATGCAGTAGGTGGCAGTAATGCTCCTAAGGAGTTATATATGGTTTGCCTAGATTTTGTGTGCTAGATCAGGGGTTCCCAAACTTTTCAGCCCGCGACCCCTAATATAACTATGCCAGTGGCTCGCGACCCCCAATATCCTCTGAGGTGGTTAGAAATACAGAAACTTTGCATGCAATGCTGCGCACACACCAATAGACCAAAGTTTATTCTTCATAAATTATTTTTATGTATGTTAGGGCTGTAAATGGCCCAAAAAGCTTAACCTGGTGTTGTAATATCAAACTGCTGTATCTGAAGCTATTACTCTGTCTTTAATATAATGTAATTACCCCAGCGATCGCAATTGAATAGAACTAGTAACTATTAGCTACTATATTAACTATATAAAGTAGTATATAGTAACTATAAATTACTATTTTTTCTAGGTTATGGATAAAATATGGTAATTCTTATGGTTTATTAAAAATAAATAGATTTTTGGAAATCACCAGGCGACCCCATTTCATTGTCCCATGACCCCTCGGGGGGTCCCGACCCCCACTTTGGGAACCACTGTGCTAGATTGTGTGTGCCTGAAATGTGTGTGGTTCTGCGGGACTGCAGCTGGATATTATTGGCTCAGGTAATGGCCAATGTTATTTTCAGTCAAAACTTATTTCACCCTATTTGAATCACCGACAGCTCCAGATATCTCACAGGCATCTGTGACTCATCATGATTCTCTCAGATCGCCTCTTTAATAGTTCATACTGTGCGATTGTCACTCACGTGCACAAGCACCGATTTGCCTCTGATTTCAGGCATTTGTCCGCGATTTCTCAGAACCTATCGGCGAGTCAAAATCGGGGCTAAAATCATGCAGTCTGAACTCGACATTAGGCTGTTTACACTTGTGTGTTTTTGTTTTAACAGTGTTTTAACACTACATGAGCAAGCACACGTGACAGAAATGATAAAGTCGCTATAATTTTACAGCTGAAAATATGTATGTACAATTAATAGATCAAACACACATTATAATGGCAGTAGTTATGGAAAGCATCAAAATTTGATTAAAGCTAAACATTTGGAATGAATATTCATAGTAGTTTAGCAACCGAACATCACATTCAAGCTGAAACTAACAATCAACAATTGCGTTGCACCTTGTGCCGATTTGCACTGGGTGTATGATAGTTCCCTAAAACACAACTACTGGGTTTTAAATTAAAACAGGGTCTGCAGTATTTGCAAAAGTCTTCAATTTTGATGGTTAAAATCTAAGTGCAAAACTAACAAATCGAGCAATTTTGCGTTTAGAAGACTTCCAATAGACATCTAAACAAGGCTAAACTTGGGCTGTCACTAAAAATCCAATAGACATTGAAATATTATGTGCATTTTAGTTCAGTTGCATTTACATTGATTAAACTCTGATGTGATATGATGGGGTGACCTGTGCCTCAACCCCCACAAACTGATAGGTGTGAACTAAATGACCCTTTTACAATCTCAATGGGTACTAGCAAAACAACAGCAGAAACATCTGATAAGAGGGTCCTGCTGAGCCTCGTTAACAGATGGTTTGTTTGATGCTAGTATAAAGTACTGTCTCACAGACAGCACTTTGGGTTAAGTTACTTGAAGACTGACGGGTTAAGATCACTGCTAAGGAACTGCACTATTGTCTTCAATAAAGTCTTCTTTCTGTAAGAACTTTGGTCAGTTTACTTATTTTATGTATTAGAGTAATCTAATACATTGGCGAGCCACCCAAGAACGGTTAAGCCAAATACAGCAAAATCTAATAACATCTAACAATAGCTTAACTATAAATAGTAATAACTAGACTAGCCATCAAGTAGACAAATGAGACAGAATTCAAATTGATTTATTCTTGTGTATTTGATAACTGCTAGTTTTGGACTGTTAGACGTATATTAGATTATCACCGACAGTCATAATTTAATCTTGCTGAAGAGATCTATGTTTAGACTTCTTTTAAAGACAAAAAATACTTGTTGGGTAGCCTCAGTGTGTCAATGTTGTCATCTGCTCTGTGTGTGATTTCAGGTGTAGCAGCAGTTCTTCTGAACCTGAGGCCAAACTCCAGCTCTGCTGAGGTTCTTCAGCAGCTCCGCTATCATTCAGTCAAACAGGTCATTAACCCAGAGTCTCTACCAGTGATGCACCGTCTCACTACACCCAACATGGTGGTGGCTCTGCCTGACCCAACATCCACACTCACAGGTCAGAGATCACCAGCAGAGTTTCATAATGTGTAAAAGCAACCACATTAATAACATGGTTTTAAATAGGCCCTAGAAAATGAATGAATGAGTAAATGGGGGATTGCAATGAATACCATTATAATGTAATCAGTGTTGTTGTGGCGCTTGTTTAGGAAAGCATCACCATTGTTTTTTGGGGAAAAATTGATGTAACAATTTTTTTTAAATGTTAAATAATCCTGTGTTGTCATTCCCCTGCTAATATTGATAATTATCTGTACACCAATATCATTCAGCAAAATGTGGTACAGTATGGTTAGCTATTTTAGTACTTCTGTGTAACGTACTGTCCGGAGGTAAAATTCCATTTGTCACCTCATTTGTTTATCTGGGTTCAGTCTACAGGACAGTTATGATAACCTGGGCCCGGTTTTTCAAAAGTAATCCACTAGGATTTTGGATAAGGGATTGGATCAAATCTTGGAAATGGGTTTTTCAAAAGAAAAAACGGATTACCTAATCGGATTAGATCACGTAATCTAATCTTGGTTTTGATCCGGATCAAACCTTTACTTTGGGTTTTTCAGACCTTTTTTGTAGGATTTGGATCACTTTGATCCAAAAAACCTGGATTAAACTGATCCCATCAGAAAGGTGAATTTAGTGTGGATTTCATGCCCAAAATGTAATAAAAACTTAAAAATTTTATTAAATAATACTATATTTGGATCACACAGTATCTTACGAGATATACTATTGATTCATAAGGTTTTAATTTTATTTGTTCATCCGTCAGGCTACAGTGATTATAGGCTTTAACGTATTCAGCCTTTAAGTATAGGCCTACAGCAAAGTAGAAATAGCTTGGCCTCATAAAATAAACCCCCAAACAGCTGTCAAAACTGACCAAAAACAATACATTTTATTGTCAATAATTGATATCTATATTCATCACAATGGAAAATATTTTTGTTTTTATAATATTTATTAGTGATGCATGCAATAATTACAGAATAACCAAAAAAAAAATGCAAAGAATGGCAATGACTGATTTTAGAAATCTCTTTCAACAATTGCAAAAAGAGACTGAAAGAGCAGAAGCACAGCTTCATCTGGCAGAGGAACAACTGAACAGAGGCCAGACTTCAGATCTGCCTCCTAAAGGCTACGCTCAGACAAGCTGCTCTCTCCACATCAGATGAGGAACTCTGAAATTATTGTAGAGTTTTTGACTTTGTCTTTTTTTATTTACATCTATATTTGAAACTTATTATAAATATCCTCAATGTACAGTGTTGTAGGTCTCAGATGAGCGGACTGCTGGAAGAGAATGGGGTGGGGTTTTTCTTGTTTTTATTATTTATTATTATTATTTTATTATTTATTAAATTTTCTTATTTTTCATTTCAAATAAAAATAAAGTTATATTGACCCCACACTGGCTATTCTACTTGTTGCTCTTTACACAGGCCTATCTATTTATCTACATTGTGTTTGAGCACTGGTAATCCAGATTTAGTGATCCTGAAAAGTTCCTATCCGGATCAGATTGATCCAATCCGATGTTGCTTTAAAAAATTGGCTCAAAAAGTAAGCTGGATTACGTGATCACGGATCGCAAAAACAGGATTACTAAATCCAGATCAATTTGATCCGGATTAAACCTTTTGAAAAACCGGGCCCTGGTGCCAGGGAGTCTGCAGTGAGAATCCCTGGATTTCACCTTTATATTTACTGCACATTTAGCAGACTGTTCTCACTCTCTCTCAATTCGAGCTTTCTTTCTGCTCGGCAGTGAAAGAAAAAAGGGGGGAAAACCCTCTTCGCCTTACCTCTGCCAACACAAAGACATTCCAAAGAGAACCCCCCCCCCCCCCCCCATCTTAACACACAAACATACACACACATACACCTTTGAAACTGACCCAGAAATCTCACAATCCAACCCAAAGTAAATGTTATGTGTTTGTAAACTTTTATTTTCTCCATGACTTTCTTCTTTTTATTTATATATACCTGTATATGCCCTTTTCAAGACACTAGACAAACTAAGAATGCCTGAATTATGTTTATATACTTCTAAAAGTGTCATGCCTGGTATCATTCTGTTCCGTACATAATCCTACAGCTCATGATCTAGGAGGCATGATCTAAATTATACGGCTTACATTCTTTAATGCCCTGAGTTAATGTCTCTTTGTATGTTTCGGGAGGACCCTCATCAGCGGTCCAGAGACAAAGAAAACCTCCTGCTCAAAACTTTGCCATGAAACCAATGCTCAGACAGTAGAAAATGGTTGTGAATTCAACCAAAGTTAAAACCCAGTTTCTCCCCAGAATCAGCGCAGAAAGGTCCCAAAAAGAAGGTCTCACAGAAGTGCCCCTGGGGGGGGGGGCAGACCGTGCATTTGTACCCACATAACTTGTCTACGTCTTCCTTTTTTCCGGCAAATTAAACTCAGTTAAATGTTTGTCTAGCGTATCCTTCAATTTGCATTGCAAGCTACACACATCAAAAAAGGACTTCTTAAAGGACTCCATCTTCCAACGCATCAGAGAAAATCGCACAAAGAAAGAAAGACCCACTAAATCCAGGTATTTAGTTATGCATTGCCGTGCCCCTTTATAAAAAAAGCTGTCTTTATAGTCTTGGTGGTTCTTAATAGTTCCGTGGAACTGAGCTAGATTTTACCTAAACTCTTTTACTTCCTTGCTTGCTTTCTTTTGTGTTTTTGTTGTTATGTTATGTACGTCAATTTGTTATATGTTAGACTAGGCAATAAAGGCAACGCAGAAGTGCAGTGGGTAGTGCGGTCGCCCACAGCAAGAAACTGGGTCAGTTGGTGTTTCTGTGTGGAGTTTGCATGTTCTTCCTGCGTTCACATGGGTTTCCTCCGGGTGCTCCAGTTTCCCCCCACAGTCCAAAGACATGCAGTACAGGTGAATTGGGGAGGCTAAGGGCCTACTCACATTATGCCATAAGTACTGTGCCCATGGATCATTTCCCGGATCGTTTGAGAAATGTGAGTGCGCTGAATCGGGCTCAAGCACGGTTCACTTGGCCGGCCCTGGCCCGGTTTGAAGAGGTGGGCCTGAAAGCGAGACGTGACTTTTAAGGGACTGTTTCATATGGATTTATTAATCATTCTTACTGTTCAGTGAACGCAAACTGCCGTAGTTTATTAAAGACACAAACCCCTCACTGCACGACAGCTACGCACCTTCTGCAGACCTCCTCATTCCTGCAGCACGAGAGCATTATGATTGAGCGCCAAAAGTGGCGGATCTGTTCGGCAAAATATCTGACTGTGTGTCACCGCATCCTTAAGGACTGTTTTGCGAAATATTTTACTGCATGTCACTGCATATCAAACGACTGACACGATATAACTAGAGAAATCTCCACTGTGCTGCTGAGTGAGAGAGCGGTTCTCACTGAACAGCACAGCAGCGATGATGTAAGCGTGCCGAGGCCCGATTGTGCTGTGAGTGCGGGCCGTCGGGGGAGACGGGAGGGGGGACAAGAGTGCTTTGGCCCGGTTCGAGGCAACTGTACATAGTGTGAGTACGGCCTAAATTGTCTGTATTGTATGAGTGTGTGTGTGTGAATGAGTGTGTGTGGATGTTTCCTAGAGATGAGTTGTGGCTGGAAGGGCATCCGCTGCGTAAAAAAAAGTGCTAGATAAATTGTTGGTTTATTCCGCTGTGGCAACCCCGAATTAATAAAGGGACTAAGCCAAAAAGAAAATGAATGAATGAACTAGTCAATAAATCACGCTATAACCACGTTGGACTGTCTTTGTTTCGCCTCACAGAAAAAGTCACTTAAATGATAGATTTTGCTACAAGCTGATTTTAAGTTTACCAAAACTTGTAAATGATTAATCTACTTCATAAGTAGTAGTTATAGTTCCCTTTCTTAATAAAAAAATAATTACAGAATCCGCTTAAATGAGCGGGTGAGGTCATTGTTATATTTATTTAGTCAAATTGACTATAAGTACTTCAGAATATTAATAATCAGTAATAACTTATTATTAATGATCATTAATATTCATAAACTGAGCTAATTTCGCTACATCTGACATTGGAATGATAATAAATGTGTACCATACTGTACTGTACCGAAACACACAGCTCAATGGAAATTAACTTATAGTGCCAAGTGATAATTTCGTAGAAGCATGTGGTTTTACACATCTGAAGAAGGTTTCAGGCTGTGTAAGAAAATATCCCATAATGACATAAGAAGAGTTGCACCCCAGTGAGCAACAGCTGCCTAAATTTGACTCATTGACATAGAATGGGGAAGTGATGGCCCATATAAGTTAGTGGATCTTATAGGCTATCCGTATCAATGTCACTGAGTGTTATTATTACACAGCAATATCATAGAGACTTGGGGTGGACTCATTTGACTCCGATCAGTCTCGCAGGATCACCATGTAGAGTACCCTAGCAACACAAACTTGAAGAGGAATATCTTTAAATCGAAACATCACAGAGGCATAGGGTTTGTTTTTGTCATTCATACTGGCAAGCAGCCTGTAATATCATCATGGCAGTGCTTAAGTGTAGTTTGGTATAAAATAAAATGATTTGCTTTGTGTTGTGTTTTATCTTACAGGAGAGGATCTGCTTTGTAGGTCAGTCTGGTCTGAAAGATCAGCTTCTCCAGTTTTCTCCACTGCTGTTTCTCGCTGTCGCTCCACTGAAGAGATGCTGAGCTGCTCCAGTTTCTCTGATAATGGCATGAGAGCTGGAGAAAGAGTGGAGGTAGGAAAAAATAGTTTAAACGGTCAACCTTATTTATAATCAGGGGTGGGTCTAGAAAAAGCATTGCCAACCCATTTATTCACTTTCCTTTGGCTTATTCCCTGTTTTATCAGGGGTCACCACAGCAGAATGAACCATCAATTACTCTGGCAATTTTTTTACTCAGCGAATGCACTTTTAGTTACAACCCAGAACTAGGAGTACAACCCTCAGTGCTGGGAAACATCCACATACTCTCTTATTCACACACTATGGCCAATTAAGTTGATCCAATTCACTTCTATACCACATGTCTTTGGACTGGGTGAAACCGGAGCACCCAGAGGAAATCCACACAAACATGAGGAGAACATGCAAACTCTACACAGAAAGGTCTCCTGGTGAAGCTGGGAATCAAACCAGTGACCCTCTTGCTGTGACGCAACTATGCCAATACAGTGAATATATAACTCAGTTTCCTTGACTGATTTACAGCAGGGGTGCGCATCATTGTAGGGACATAAAATTCTGTATACCCATTATTAATGACTGAACAAACAACTCTTATGAACTGCATTGTTTTAGTGAATAATGCAGCCACAGCCCCCACATTTCTCCAAGTTGCCAGATATAGTCATTATTGAAGCGTCACATCATTGAACACATTTTTATAATTAAGTAATGTGGACTTTAAAGGGCACCTATGATGAAAATCAACTTTTATAAGCTGTTTGGACACATCTGTGAAGGTATTGTGTGTCCACTGTCATGTTGGAGCGATATTAAGACAACATGTCTCTTTTTAAATTCCCTGGCATTAAAATAGGATCCAAATCCTAGTGATTTTGAGGCCCACCACTATGGGATGTAGAAGTATGGTTTTCCCTGCCCAATAAATTGATTGACAGGTGCCCTATTTTCTATAATAACATATATACACGTCAACACAGCATTTTAATTGCAAATAAATTAGGATTAACATATCTGTAACAACTATCTGTGAGTTTTAGAAGCTTTATAAGTTTAAAATGTTTAAATGTTTAAAACAGAGCATGTTTAAAACAGAGCATGTTTGTAATAAAGACAGTAAAATCGCCATCTAATACTTAACTGCTATAATCACCCTGGCCACATTGTCAGTAAACACAAGCTTTTGTTAGCTTTATCTGTGTAATATTTGGTAACACTGCATTGATAGCACCGACAGGCAGCATTAAAAAAAAAAAAAAACAGATATAGACTATATTCGATAGAATGAACATAATGTTCATCATAATATGTAAAACTGTGGTAAACAGCATCAAAACAGTAGCAGAATTGGCCTCATACAAAAGAAATCAAAACACAAGCAAGGATGTAAACAGATTACTTCTCTGGTATGTTAGTTATGTACAGGTTTGAAATAGCTCTTACATTCAGTGTTAATATTTTTAATTTTTATTTAAATTTCTTTTTTATGTAGCATCGTGGTTCTGCGAGACAAGACATTTTGTTCCACTGTACATCCACACAAGTAGCAGAATGACAATAAAGCTCAACTGGACCTTTCCCAGTCCCATTCCCCACTGTGTGCCCAGTTTCTTGAGGTGGCTGCTTGCTAGCTACAACTAAACCGCAAAGTTATTAAAGCAGTACATGTTTAGCATTCATTGAATCTACAAAAAAGACAGCAATGATGCTTGCTTCAGTGTTGCCACCACTTATGATTTTCACGCCACCCCAATGACCCCATAAATCGTTTTCTAAATTTGCAGAATAATTGCTTTTCAACAGAGAAATGTCTAGTAATTTCTTTTCTGACAGGAGAGAGATGGGCAGAAAGAGTGTGTGGCTGTAAATGTGAACGGAGGGCCAGGAGTGTTTGCAGTCGCTCGCTGTTGTACAGGGCATAGAGCTCAGTGTCAGATGTTGGAGGGTCCAGAGAGAGGAGCAGGTGCTGAATGCCCACCAGAGCACCATCTGACAGGTGATACTCTCACACTGCTCTCACACTGTAATATTCAGGGTTAGTAGATGGTGGGTTTTAGTCAGTTACCACAAATACTGTCTGAAATTGTCTATGTAAATGTTTTTTTATCAACAGTGTCAATCGTTAAAGAGATAGTTCAACCAAAAATAAAAATTCATTTATTATATACGCATCCTTGACTTGTTCCAAAAATTTTTTGAAGTTGTTCTGTTAAACAAAAAAGAAGATATTTTGAAGAATGTTGAAAACCAGTAATCATTGACTTATTGCATATAAAATTAACCTTTTCCTACTATGGATATAAAAAGTAAATTAAATGTATAAATACAAACATTTATGGGCTCGCTGCATGTCTAAAACACTCAATAAGAGGTCTCCACCTACTGACTACTTAAGCCAATCAAACAAATCATGGCGTAAGAGGCATGTTTGGTTCAATTAGGTTTGCCATGACTTGTGATAATGTGATACTAGTATTAAGCAAGATCATTCTGAAGACAACCTAATGTTGTGGCCTTGTCTTATGTTGAGGGAGATATCAGTTGTAAATGGTCTTTTGCCATGTGTAAACAAATCTTCAAACCACAGCAGCTTATGTTTTAAAAGCCAGAGAAAAAGATCTATTAATGAAAGTTTTGTGAATGCATATTTTGGGATTATTTTTAAATTTGGTAACACTTTATTTGGTTACAACTAAATTTAAGGTGTCTATGTCACAGTGTAATTATTTTAACTACTGAGTAATTAATAGGGCCAGACAGAATCTGTGGACTTTTTTGCTATTTCTATATTGAAATATTAATAACAATAAAAATTAATAATATCTATTTATTTAATATTTGGCTATTTGCTATGACTTATGCGGAATTGTTTTGGAAGTATCGCAACTAAAATGTAATATGTGAAATAAAAACACCTTTTTAACTTTTATGTAATATTTACAATGCAAATCCAATTGTGAATAAATCATATAAACATTTTCATATGTCAATAATATTTTAAAAATTATTTTTAAAAAATGAATAAATATAAATTAGCAAGTGAATAGACAAAAAAAAAAAAAAACAAGAAAAAAAAAACCTGGATTTGTGCCGGCACAGATTCTGTGTCAGATGAGTTATTATTGCTTAATTACATGTACTTTCTACTGTATATTGTTGGAGTTAGAATGTGGGTTAGGTATAGAGTTAGTTGCATGCAATTATGCATAACTAATATAGTAAGTGTATAGAACGTGTAACTAGGCAACCTTAAAGTGTCAACCTTTATTTTAAGGTGTCCTTGTTACACGTTCCATACTTAAACCATACCTAAACATGCATTCTAACTAATCCTATAGTAAGTACATGTTATTAATTAATGTTACTCATTTGTTAAAGGGATAATTCAACCAAAATTGAAATTTCTGTCATCATTTACTCACTAAACCTTTGGTTGCTGGCACAGACTTCTATAGTAGTTTAACAATCAGCAGTCTTCAAATTATCTTCATTTTTGAAGAAATTAACTAATAAAGGTTTAAAAACCACATGAAGCAATTTTGATGTTCAGGTGAACTATTGGGTTAAGTTCATTTCTCTTTACATTTTAAGCACATGATATATGACAGGCTTCACCTTTCCTGCAGGCTGCAGCTTTTCCTCCTCATCTGGAGAAGCATCAGACTCTGATCGGACTCTGCATGGTAGCCGCAGGACATGTGCTGCTAAAAAGGGTATGATGTCATATGCCTTCTGCTGCCACACGTCCACTCTGGAGTGCAGACTGAAAGAACACCACCTCAATACTCTCAGCCAACAGGTGATATTTACGCTACTGCTTTTCAGTCTATCGCTGATAATGATGTGTTTTTGCTGTTTGGTAAAGAGATATATCCACACTACACAATTACCTCAGACGTTACCATAGGTATAAAATTCGCACATAACTGTGCCCTATATATTACACTATCCGCTTGTTAAGTGTGACGTCACGTAAATGGGCTTCCTGGTCCAAGCGCTCCATTCAAATGTACGGGGAGACTCATAATATGGTAATAAAAAACGTTTACAAAGCGCTTTAATACTTTGGAAAATCACGATCGCAATATATATGTCCATGCCTAATATCCGAATGGCCAGAAAGGGATTCATTTTTGTATAAATTGTTAAAATTGTGATATTTGTGATGCAGCAAGCCCAGAGATTGTCGTGTACACTATGACTTTATATAAAACTCACTTTAATGTGTGATATGAATAAAAAGTGATTATAAACAAATATTTTCTCAACTTAAATGAGTGGTGGCTTGGACCCGGAAACAGTATTACATACGTCACCAACACGTCACCACTTAACAAGCGGATAATATTAAAACACAAATTGTAATGGTTAAGACAAAAATCTGAAAATGTAAGAAACTATTTTTGGTATAAAACAGAATAGGCTGTACAGTTATTAAATAAAACCAATTATAATAGTATTTACTATCAACAGTATACTTAGTGAAGTTTATTTATGAACTATTTTCGAGAGGATCACGTGCTTATGATTGCTTGCAGCTGGTCCCACATTATTAAATTTATGATTCACTAATCAGATGATTCTTAAGCCAATATAAATACCCTAAGTTCCATTTAACAGCCATCTTTGATTTGAAGAATCCCCCCTTCCACCTCTACTCCTTTTTTGCTAGATGGGTGGCAGGGTGGCCCAGTGGTTAGCACTGTTGCCTCACAGCAAGAACGTCACTGGTTCTAGTCCTTACCAAGCCAACCAATGTTTCTGTGAAGAGTTCAAATGTTCTCCCCATGCTCAAATGGGTTTCCCCTGGGTTTCCCGGTTTCCTCCCACCATCCTAAAACATGCAACTTAAGTTAATAGGCACCATAAACATGCACATAGTAAGTAGTTATCTCTTAAGAGCAATCAGGATCTGTTCATTAGCTACAACAGCAGGGGAGTTCTCGAGATCGAATTGAGCTCAAATTCCCTTCTCGCCATATAAACGGGAGGGAGCCCTGGGCTTGAGGAACTTTGGAGCTCAGGGCTCTCTCCTGGGACAGTATGCCAAACAGGCTTTATAATCAAACATCAGGTAAGTGTGAACTTTTGAATATCTTGTTGTAATCAATAACATTTAGAGAAAGAATAACTTAGGTTTAAGTGATCTGCAATACTTACTAGTATTCGAGTATATAAGAAGAGAGTAAGATGTACACATTATAATGTGTCATAAACAACTTAGGTCCAGCTTGTTTGACATTTAAATGACTTGGCTAATTTAATTAAAGCTAAACCACTTAATGTCATAGTTTTGCAGTTTTTCTACACAATTATGCTTAATTGAAATGCCATTGTGTGAATATGAAGTTGCCAGCTGCGTTTTGTTTTTATGTTACTTTCATGATGTGCCGTATGCAATAGTTTCCCCTTTGAACAGGGAACTTCAATGCTATAAGAGGATTTAATCCATGTATGGAGATTTCATTCAGAAAGCCAATCGTCTGAAAGAGTATGTAAATGGGCCAATGAAATGCCAAATGAATTGGCAGTGTCAGCTTGTGCACCTGATGCTTGTTGCAATCAATTTAGCATAAAAGCAAAGCGAAAGCAAGAAAATGCAACCTTTTCACTTCAGAGACTTCTACAGCCTTCTAAGAGAGTCGATGAGGGTTCCTCCTGCTGATATCCAGCGATTTCGAGCAAACGAAAGCAGTCTTCCGGTCCAGAGTGTGTAAATGTGGCGGCAGACGGTTGAGCTGGGCTTCTACCTTGCCTGGCGTTCTTTGGGTCCGGTCCTCTAGAGCGGTGCCTATAAAGTTGCAAATTTCACTAAAAGAGCAACACAGTCATGCGGCACGTCCTTTTCAGGATGGCGATCTGACCGTGCATTTCTGGATGCGGTGGTTTCCTGTCCTCGGATGATGGGCACGAGCACTGCGTTGCATGTCTAGGGGTCCAGCATGTTAATGCGGTGCTTGCGGACAGTTTATGCTTCATTGCGATGCCATGTCTATTGCGCAGTTAAGATCACAGCTAGCCTCTTATCCCCTTCTTCCAGGAGGTGCAGAGTAGGATCATGCAGTCTTGGAGGGCACCTTTTTCTGCCTCTGCCCTCACCACTCTTGATGGTGGAGCAGCCGGGGGTACGAGGCGATTCCTCAGGCTGAGCGCTCCATTGCGAACAATCTTCGTCCTTGTGGCGCCTCTTCTTGGCGGGGTCCGCCTGGTCTCCCGTCCAAAGCCTGTAGGTTATCTGCCTCCCTCGGAGCCAGAGCTTACAAGGCTGCGGGCCAGGCTGCTTCCGCCTTGCACGCCATGGCCATCTACCAGCGCTACCAAGCGCAGGCGCTGGCCCAGCTGCACGAGGGTGGGTCCGACCCAAGCTTGCTTTGAGAGCACTATGCTCTTTGGACCACTAAGTCCGCTGCGTGTGCATTGCAGAAGACAATGCCCACATTAGTGGTCCAGGAGTGCCACCTCTGGCTAAACTTGGCTGATATGTGCGAAGTCGACAAAGTTCACTTTCTTGACTCCCCCAAGCCGTCGGTGAATTCACCCAGGAATTCAAGGTGGTGGGAGAGCAGTCTGGTGGGATGGGTAGTGTTATCTATCGGCAGGACCATAAGTCCACTCCGCCTTCCGAGCCATCCATATCTGCTGCTCCTCGCCGAAGGCGCCCGCCTACGAGAGCTGCCCTGCTCGCGTCTCCAGCGAAGCAGGCACGTCAAGCACCTCGAAAGTAGGTAGTCCCCCTGCCAATGGCACCGTTAAGTCCAGTAAACGGACCATCAAGCATTCCTGGGACAGGTCATCCAGAAAAGAGGGAATTTGCTCTTTCCCCGCTGGAGGGGCGGGCCCCATTTCCAACGTCACTTTTCACTGCTACGCAAACATCAATAAAAGAGCACTTTTCCACTTACCCGGACGTGACAGCCTGAACTCTTCCATTCTGGGACGCCATGCTTTCCAGCTCGCAGATTCTATGCATTTCACCAGTGGCTCACAGGCGCTGGGAGGATGGTTAACTTGTACAGCCCGTACTTCATCGTGCCCAAAAAGAGCGGTGGGTCACGGTCAATCCTAGATCTACGCATTTTGAACCGCTGTCTGCACAAGCTGCCGTTCAGAATGCTCACGCAGAAGAGCATTCTACGGTACATTCGTCCACTGGATTGGTTTGCAGCGATAGACCTGGAGGACGCGTACTTCCATGTCTCCATTCTTCCCCTTCGGGCTTCGCTTATCTCAACGACCTGCTGATTTTAGCCCACTCTCGGGAGCACTTGATTATGCACAGAGACAAGGTGCTCCGGCACCTCCACTTGTTGGGGCTTCAGATCAACCGAGAAAAGAGCAAACTCGCCCCCATGCAGAGGATCTCATTTCTCAGGCCGGACTCTGTCACCATGACAGCGCGCCTCTCCGAAGAGCGTGCTCAGCTAATAGTGAACTGTCTGAGAGAGTTCGACAGCGAAATAGTAGTCCCACTGAAATTATTTCAGAGGCTCCTGGGGCATATGGCATCCGCAGCCGCTGTCACGCCGCTCAGATTCCTCTATATTATACCACTTAAGCACTGTCTTAAGCATGTAGGCACACACAGTCACTGTTACTGCGCTGTGTCGCCGTGCTCTCAGCCCTTGGAACAACCCCTCATTTCTAAAGGCCAGAGTGCCTCTAGGACAGGCGTCTAGTCATGTTGTTGTTTCAAAAGATGCTTCCAACACGGGCCGGGGCCTGTGTGCTGCTGAAATGCAGCTGCACGACTGTGGACAGGAACCCAGTTGCATTGGCATATCAATCGCCTAGAGCTGTTGGCAGTGTTCCTTGCTCACCGCCGTTTTTTTTTCCGGTGCTGGAGTAGCAGCACGTGCTGGTCAGGACGGACAGCACTGTGGTGGTGGCGTATATCAACCTCATAGGGGGTATTCACTCTAGCCGCATGTCTCAGCTCGCCCGCCGTCTGCTCCTCTGAAGTCATTTGCGGCTTATATTGCTGCGTGCCATTCACATTCCAGGCAAACTCAACCATGCAGCTGACGCGCTCTGACGGCAGCCTTTACGTCCCGGAGAATGGAGACTCCAACGCGAGTTTGTTCAGCTGATATGGGCGCGATTCGGAAAGCCCAAATCGATCTGTTTGCTTCCCCCATAAACGCACATTGCCATTTGTCTTTTTCCCTGACCGAGGGCTCTCTTGGCACGAATGAACTGACCCACAGCTGACCTTGGGGCATGCGCAAATATGCGTTTCCCTCAGTGAGCCTGCTCGCGCAGTTACTGTGCAAGGTCAGGGAGGATGAGGAGCAGGTCTTGCTAGTTGCGCCCCTCTGGCCCAACCGGACCTGGATGTCAGAGCCCTCCCTCCATGCGATGACCCTCCCCTGACAGATTCTTTGAGAGGGAACCTACTCTCTCAGAGACAGGGGACCATCTGGCACCCTCGTCCCGATCTTTGGAATTTCTTAGACGCAAGGTAGACTTAGGCAACCTACCGACTGAAGACAGCTCTGCTGGTCATGTTGGCATCGAAGAAGCGCAAGTTACCTTTGCCAAGGGCACTTGACCATGACAGACCCTGGCTTTTAAACTTGTTGCTGGCAACAGTCTGGATGATCATTTTCTTCAGGTCCAGGGCACACAGCATCCACTTCTCCCAAAAAATACATGAAATACTGATTCATTTGATTACAGTTCACTGTCCCACAGTGCGATAGTCCATCCCAGATATCTCAGAGCCCAGAGAAGTCTACTTTCTTGTAGACACTGTTAACACAGGGCCTCTTTTTGGCACAGTAGTTTTAACAGACATTTGTAAATGTAACAATGTATTGTGGTACTTGACAAAGGTTTGCCAAAGTAGACCTGAGACAATGTGCTGACTTATAAATAATCTTATAAAAGAATGAGATCATGGAAGTTCATTATGCTATGCACTTATGTGGTGGCGCTAAATAAATTAATGTGTTAGGATCATGTATCCAAGTAATTTTAACTTTCTCATTTCTTTCAGGTGGAGGTTTCGTGTGAGGACTCATGGACACTGACGGCATGTGAGGCTCTGTCTCGAGATGCAGTCATTCACGGGGCGTTTGCAATGGGAAACACCTGTGTAGTTCGTACATCTGGAGTAGATAAGGACGCTGCCGCCATCGCAACCTGCTGCAGAAACCATCCTTTACATGGGACACAGGATCACTGAAGATCTCCATTAGGCCTTAAGTAGATGTTTTCTTTCTTTTCTAAACACGTAATCAAGGACTTGATACTGAAACGTGGGATACTGGAGAGCTCAGCTCTGCCACTATAGAATGTTTTATACTGAATATAACCATAACTGATCTGGACATTACATAGAAGGTGAAAAACCACTTAAAGGGGGCTATACATTGAGGAATTTCTATGTAGTGATAAGAAAAAAAAAGACCACTTCCCTGACTTTATAGTCTATGAAAGCCTATAAGCCTAAGTTTTATGCGATATACAGTTGAAGTTTGAATAATTAGACCCCCTGTAAATAATAGTTTTAATAACTCATTTCTAATGACTGATTTATTTTATCTTTGTCATGATGACAGTAAATACTATTTGACTAGATATTTTCACGACACTTCTATACAGCTTAAAGTGACATTTAAAGGCTTAACTAGATCAATTAGGCAAGTCATTGTATAATGATGGCCTGTTCTGATGACAATCAAAAAATATATACAGCTTAAAGAGGCTAATAATTTTGACCTTAAAATGGTGTTTAAAAAATTAAAACTGCTTTTATTCTAACCAAAATAAAACAAATAAAAAAATATATATTTGCTGTTAAACATCATTTGGGAAATATTTAAAAAGGGGAAACAATTCAAAGGGGGTGTAATCATTCTGATTTGAACTGTACTTAGCATTTGCTTTACAGTGGTAAATGGTTTTACTTCAAATCAAAGAACCTAAACTTGTATTCTGGGATTAAATGACCAGCAATACGCTGCTTTCTGCAGTTCACTTTACGGCCACCGGTGTCGCTAACAACAAGAGTTTCTGAATCCTACATATAACAGGCCCTTCAAAAAATACTTTGTTTTTGCGAATAAAATAAGCACACTGCCTGATACCAGGATTTTTTTGTTTTGGCTGTATTAAACATCATGTATATCCTGCAAAATGAATAATAAAATATTTTCGTTAACAACATTACTAAATATTAGTTTTTTTAAGCTTAATGTGATGGCAGCAATGGTAATAATAATGATGTAAAAATAGGACAGAAGAAAATTTATATGAATGATAGTGATGCATAGAAAAAAATCTGTAAACGATAACAATAGTGTGTATTTAACTTTACGAACTGATCAAAATCTATATACTATATGCATGGTCAATAGCTATGTTTCCATTAAAAAATGTGAATTAACTTTATGCGCAAAACTAGATTATCGCAAAAAAGACGTGCGAATAAAGCAGCGTTTCCATCCAACGAGTTAAATCGCTCAAAATCGTTACTTCTAGGGCTGTGTGATTTAGGGAAAATATCTAATTTCGATATTTTTGACAGATATTGCGATTTCGATTTGATTTGCGATTTAATTTTTGTAGTCAAGCTTCAAATCAATAATTTGTGTCGTAGCTTCTTGCTGCTAAAATGCAGTGAGTTTTAGTTAATCAAGGAACTGAAGTTATTTTCAGTTCCTTTTATTCAAATTTATTTTTTAATATTCAGAAATTAAACACATAAAAAGCATAAATAAAAAGACCTTACTTTTCTGTTAACAATTTGGACTCAAATTAGACAGTGTAGCTTATCATAAAAAAAAAGGAAAAAAAAAAGTAATTATAAAAATACAACACACTCAGCAACCTAAAATGGCTGAAACAACTTGGAAATTGGGCTTTGCTGTTGCTTGCAACCAGATTGAGTGTCACTGCCAATGTATTCAGTTAACATTTTAGCAAGACAGTCATCATGCAATTGTGCTCACCTTATTTGCTAGTAAGACTATCACACACAGACTGCAGTCATGCATTTACTCTGGGCAGGGAAAATTAAATAATACAAATATATTTCATAATGCAGCCTCTTGCGATTAGCTAATCGTAACGTTTCAAATGGCAAATGCAATTTGATTTCTATTAATCGCACGGCCCTAGTTACTTCCTGATTATCTGGCGCCAAATTTCAACAGTAAAAATTGAATTTGCTGCGGTAAGAGAAGCTGCGTGAATCTTTTCTTCATTTAATAACTTGTGTCTCAGAAGACAATCCTGACACACAGTGAATGCGTGGTGGCGTTTTAAGATGTCAGACACGGAGTGCAGACACTCTTAATTCAGTAATAATATAATATCAACAATACTGAAATGGTTAAGACGTTTTACATTTCAGATGGTTTACAATGTGTTCAGCCAGCTGGTTTACCCAGTCACACACGTTTTAACATCACATGATCTCTTATAACAAAATCACAAGACCTTTTTTAATGTGCATACTGAAATTTGTCCAGTAATTCTTTCCATTGCAGGGTATCTGCACATTTTTTAACAGAAAATTTAAGACCTTTTAAGACCTTTTTAAGTCCTCTAAAATGAAAATTTAAGACTTTACCTAAAAAAAAAAACAGGAAAATGTTCAGTGTGAACACAGAATGATGTGGTGAAGTATGGCGGCAAATCTATGGCGGCAAATCAATGGCAATATAAATCGAGCGCAGCGGTGATGTTTGCGCGCGAGGAGAAGTGAACCGTGAGCAGATTACTTGGTTGACTTGGTTTACTTGTTATCTCTAACGCTATTGGCTACTGTGCCTTTCCGGAAGTTAGCCGGGATTGGACGCAAGTTAAAAGATCATGCCGTTAAATATATATACAATTTGCAAGTCATAATCATAAGAAACTTTCTGAGAACTTTATGAACTTTATGAGGATTCAATCTCAAGAAACAGTCAAATAATATCCAAAATAATGACTTGCATTCTTGTAACATGACTTTCTGAACCCATTTGATTTGTCCGTGCAGCACTTGTCTGGTTTGTTGTATTTTACTTCATTATTAACCACAACAGCAGTGCTCATTATTACACTTGGGGATGATCTTTCTAGGAAATATTGTCTTCAGAAGAGTTTATTTGCGTTTTAGATCTTTATAGATAATTATAATTAATTTATCTTTATAGATAATTGTTAACATTGTTTGTAATATAGATCAGTGTAAAATATATATATCTATATATATTATATATATTTTTCAATCTCATTTTTAGTTAATGATTGAATAACCTGCATATAAAGACTTCAATCAAAAATGATTAGCCCAATTAAACATAAAAAATACAGTGACAGACATTCAGATGGGTTTTTATCGCCACCTATTGAGCAACAATTTAATTTCTACAATCTTCGTTTGGCTTTACTCACTATCCATTACATCATTCCACTTCAGAGGCATACAAATACTACTTTCTATACGACAGGCCCACATCTTAAAGGTCACATATGCAGTTGAAGTCAAAATTAGTAGCCCACTTTTTTCTTGTTTTATTTCGGCAAGAATAAAAGCTGTTTTAATTTTTTAAAACCCATTTTAAGGTCCATATTATTACCCTCTTTAACCTATTTATTTTTTTCGAAAGTCTACAGAACAAACCATCGTTATACAATAACTTGCCCAATTACCCTGCCTAGTTAACCTAGTTAAGCCTTTAAATGTCACTTTAAGCTGTATAGAAGTGTCTTGAAGAATATCTAGTCTAATATTATTTACTGTTATCATGGCAAAGATAAAATAAATCAGTTATTAGAAATGAGTTATTAAAACTATAATGTTTAGAAATGTGTTGAAAAAAATCTTCTCTCCGTTAAATAAAAATTAGGATAAAAATAAACAGGGGGCTATTAATTCAGGCGGGCTAATAATTCTGACTTTAACTGTATAGTGGAATAACAGACTAATGGCAATATATTTACTATAAACCTTTGTACTTTATGCACTGCATGCATGTATAGCCTATTTTGTATACTATTGTCCATCCAATTTATTCTGACTTGTTCTTCATAGAAAATGAGTCAAGGACAATGAATCTTAGAAAAAAAAAGATTTTTATAAATTTGAACACGTTTAGTTTGAGTTCAGTTTAAATATAGGTGCTAAACTTCATCAAATGGTTCAAAACACATCTAAAGTCTGAATTATTCGTCCTGATTTAATAGCCCATGTATATTTTCCCCAATTTCTGTTTAATGGAGAGATCTTTTGCCACATGGTATAACTCTCTCTTTCTCTCCCAAGTAATAAAGTTTGTTACAGAAATATATCTCATTATTTTGATATGTCATTATATGACTTGGTCATGATGGTAAGAATAGGTATTATTATGAGATTAATTATTACAAAAAATATCTCATTATTGAAAGTAAGTCTCCACCTATTATTACTGAGAAAGTAAGTCTATGTTTCACACTGTGACATTATGATAAGATTTCCTATATAATTTTATTTAACGGGGAAACTAGCTTACCTGCGTCCAATCCCGGCTAACTTCTGGAAAGGTAGAGTAGCCAATAGCGTTAGAGATAACAAGAAAACCAAGTCCCGCCCTAGGACTCACAAAAATCTAAACTGTTTCGCGAGCAGAGAGAAGAACCAGCGAGCGAGCGGAGAGAACTGATCGCGCGCGCGCTGTAGGCATGACCTCGCTCGCGAGAGCGTACATCGTGCGCACAGATGATAATGTGCACGCGCGGGACTTGTTTTCTCGCGCTGGATCAGTTGAGCGCGCGCGTGAAGATCCCCTGTGCGCTCGCGAGCTGTAATTTTCTCGCGTGTAGACCTGTAATCTGCTCACGGTTCACTTCTCCTCACGCGCAAACATCACCGCTGCGCTCGATTTATATTGGCATTGATTTGCCGCCATAAGACGAGTCGGACATGATATTTAAGATCCCACATGAAATTTAAGACCTCCTTATGGAAAATTACAGAATTTAAGACATTTTCAGACCTTAAAAATCGAAAATTTTATTTAAGACATTTTAAGACTTTTTAAGCACCCGCGGGGACCCTGCATTGTAGTTTATGTGCATCTTTTTTATCAGATAAAAAGTTTGTCCTCTCAGTTATGTGCAATTACAAAATGTATGTGTATCTTGGCGTTTCTATCAATCGTTTTTTTTATGCGCAGATGGATGGAAATGTAGCTAATGTGTAAACCAGTATATTTACATTACAAATTTGATATAAACGTTGACATCTGAGTAATTTTACTGACACGTACAAAGTGACAAGATTGGTGAAAAGTTGTGCATTCCAATTTTTATATCAAATGTTTTCATTGTCAAACTCTGATGTACAAATTAAAATGTTTTTTTTTTTTAAACATGCATTAACAGATTCCTTTACACATCATACACACTCTCAGCAGAAATGAATGGGAGAATCATTAGTTATTAAAAACCCAAGCATCTTCAACCCTGTCCTGGTAACAGATCTGCAGAGTGGTTGGGTACGAGCATCTACAGGAGTGGGGGAGGTTAAAAAAAAAAAAAAAAAGATTGATTGAAGGGA